CGGTTCAGCTTTAGCTTTGTTTCTCACACAGCAATTTTATGACTCTCTGGGGTAATAACAGCAAACAGATGTGACAGGTCAGAACAAACCAAAAAAAGGAGGACTTTGTGCCTTGGCCGTACATTTTTTTAACAGCCTTCCCACCCATCTGAAGGAATGGAGATGCTGAAGGGTCCCTTCTCCCCTGTGACAATGACACATGGCAGGCAGGCATGCTCTTTACCTCGGAGGACGGTGAGCTTGGCATGGACGGTGACCTCTCCATGAGGGTTTTGAGCAACACACTCATAAATGTTCTCATCCCGGGGAGTCCGGAGGGGCTGGATCCTCAAAACAGCACCTGCACTTTCATCAAATTCAATTGTCTGGGGATAAAGGGAGAGACACACACATAGTAAGCCGCCTTGGGTTGCAAGCAGAAGGTTCATTCCTGCTTCTAAAGGAGACACCAGCATGTAAACAAGCACACACACTCACAAACACACTTCAGCAGCTGCCCCACAATCCCCTACACATAACCGACACAGTCAACTTGGCTCTTCACTGACCTCAAGGCGACAGACAACTGTCGCATGCCAAACCCTGTCTTTGACCACTGACCCACCTGAACTGCTATGTACATCTCAAACACAATGAAAGAACGAGCCATGGTGATGGTGTGTGTGGGGTGGGTGTTCAGAGTACAACTGTGATGAAGTAGGAGGAAACAGACCAAGTGAAAACAAAATAAAAATGAACCCCCGCCTTGTTCCTCCACCTGCATGGGCAGCTGACACCACAAAGGTCCTCTCAGCACACAGCTGCCTGGCAGGGCTGAGTCCCACAGCAAATTCCACAGGATGACCTCCTAGTCCTTGTTCCTCCTCTTTCATTTCTATCTAAACAATGCCAATTGCTTGGGTCTGTTTGCCAGCAACTGTAACGTTTACTCCACGCTGTCCCAGGGTTAAAATAATGAGCCATGGATGGGTATGAAAGGTGCATTTACAGAGCTGAAGTGCCACCAGCTTAGCTGGGGTCTCTTACGGAAGGAAGAAGGCACTTTATATTATATCCCAGGAGGGGGAAAAAACCAACAAAACAAAAGACAAAACTCCAATAATGTAAGTGAGCCAAGTTCTTTCTTGCTTTGGAACAAACCCAGCTGTTGACATGGCCAAGAGCTTGCAGTTCACTCCTCCTGCTGCTATAACTCTTCCCCTTCCAAACCTCCCTTTATTATCGGGTTTGAGAATGGCCAAAGAAGAGCACTAGCTGCTTTGTGTCAGTCTCTCTCTCTTCATACATACACAGACTTCAATGACATCTCTTACCTCAAATCTCTGAGAGTTCACTTTCTTCCCTTTCTTGTTCCAGGTGACCCGTGGCTTTGGGTCTCCAGTTGCTTGGCATACAAAGGAGGCAACCCCTCCCGACACACCAATTTGGTCCACAGGTTTTTTAATGAATACAGGGGGACCTTTAAGAAGGAAAGAAACATCATGACTAGCACAAGGCAAGACAAACTCTAATAAACACTGTATGTAATTAATAGTAGCATTATCACTGCTATTCTATAATGATCCCAGACAAAATTAAACCTCTTGGCCTTTCAGAAACAAACAGTCTTAACCTCCGTTTTACAGATGAAGAAGCTACAGCATGAAATGATTAAAGGTCTGATCCTACAAAGAGATTTCAATGCGATGATATTGCAAAGCCTCTTTTACTTCTGAAAAGTGGACTTTTAAACTCTTTTGCACAGGCAAAATCGCCCTTGCAAAGCCCATCTAATAATCATCACCAAAAGCTGGTAGAGCTGAAAACAACATCTAGAAACGCTGAACTGCACTCCCCAGATCCTGGCAGGTGACCAAAAGACCAAGGAATGGGGGAGATTTACAGGAACATACTCAAGGCAGGGGTAAAAGGTGGGAGAAGGACCATGAAGTAAACAGAGCAGGAACTTGGCACATAGAGATCTTGAGAATGATGGTGTGAAACAGGCTGATGTTAGCCGCTTTAAGATGCGAAACCTCCTTGGCTTGTAGTACCTCTGTTTTCATCTGCAAATCTCTCCTCTGGCCCTCACCGGTACATTTACACAACAACAGGTATGTCATCCTTTGGAACAGGCAAGCTGGTAGGATACAGCCCAGCAAACGAAAGTCGTGACCATTTCGAAACAATTCAGTTGTCAAGACCAACAGCATGGCAGCCAAGCCTGCAGTCTGCTCCTGCAGTCCCCCCTTCTCCTCTTCTCATGAGACATCCGAGAAAAACAAGGAATTCACACTGCTGAAGGAAGAAGCCAACAGCTTCTCAAACTCCTCTCATAACCAGATGCTCAAAGGTGCAGCGATGCCTGAACAAACACACACAGAGCCTGGGGCTGCATTTTAGCCAGCCTGGACCCAAAGGAACAACACTTGAGCTTGCACCACCTCTCCCTCATCCCCTGGCCACCGATTTCCATCCACGTCTGACTGCCACCGCCTTCAAGAACACCTCTGCAAGGAGGGGAGAGAATGCTGGGATGGGCTTTCTGACCAAGGAAGGTGTCAAGGGTCTTCTCATGAGAGGAAGATGAGGCTAGGAGTGTTCGTGCAGAGCCCATATTGCCTCTGCCCTCAGGGAATCCTCCTTCCCTGCTCTAACCTGCTTTCCCTGCACAGTTTCCTCTCATCTAGTTAGTTTAAAATTTATTGAAATATTTAAATCACAAGGCCACAGCTGTGTTCAAATAAAATCACTCAGATCATAAAGTTGCCGTCTGTTATTCTTGACAAAACTAGACCACATGACTCTGAAATGTGTATATTTATATGTACATACTCAGAGTCTATAAAATAAGATGTAAACAGCCTACCAAAGAGCTTAAGAAGAGGGCAAATGGTAGCTACAGAGAAGTCTCCAGGGTCTTTTAGGGGTCGAAAGACAAAAGGCAGCATTCTCCCCTTCCCTGCCTGGTGTGGCCAGCAGTATATAAATAAAAGCCACTAAGCAAGCTCATGTGATGCAATCAAGCGTTTGTTTCCATGCTGGAGGTAAATACAATTTGCTGGAGCTGTTTATGTCCCACCAAATGCTGTGTGTACAAAGCATCGGATTTATAAATATCCAAATCTATATTTAGAGGTCAGTCTTCTTTGCAATGTTACAGCTAAAGGTTATCAAGCAAGTCCCACTGGAGGTACTGGCACTGGGGAATCTGTCTTCCATCTGAGCAAGGCAAAACCAAAACTTTGCCTCAGGCTAAAATATAAATGCTCACTCTGCCCGCAGCCTGACTTCCTTCCTCTCTTCTCCTCAGTTCAATATCTGAAGAGTTTGCAGAAGTCAATTTTGAAGGTACATCCAGGGCTTTTAAGAACACTTTATTGATGCAAGTTCATTTCCTAAAATAAAAGTCCCTAATAATCCTTAATATCACATATACATTTAAATGGGTGCAAGCAGTATGATGAGAGAACAGCTGAGGAGAAAAATAAGGTTCTATTTCTGTCCTGAAGAAAGGGACGGTGCTCCAAAAAATGGTGAACTTGGAGTCGTTGCTCAGCATCCCTTTCCGGGGAGCTCTGTTGACTGAGTGTGTGGCAGTGGGGACGTCGAGCTGCTCTGGGAACGCTGCTTTCCTGAGCTCACTGCGATGCTGAACTGCCTACGATAAACTCACTCTTAGACAGCAAGAGTCAAAAGAAAAGAAACCAAACAAAAATCCTTATCAAACAACCTATTAGATTCTGCTACTCACTTGGAAAATCGGTGAAAATCAAAACTAAATTGTTGATTTTAAAAATTGCCCAAGCCTCTGAGCTCTGTTCTTTGATTCTTCCCCCCCTGCCAAATCCCCCATTGCGCTCTCCACCTATGCGCCCCATGTCACCGCAGCACTTGTCACTCCAGCCCACGCCAACGGCAGAACAACCCTCTCCGCTCTGGGAAGGAGAAAGCCAGCGCTATCGCAGGCAAGGTGGTGATGATACAAAGCTGAAACAAATTCCTACGTGCTGCGTAGGACTGCCACAGCTCTGCCGTGCCAGGTCCAGTTTGCAATGAAACATGTAGTTAGAATTCAAGTCTTCAGCTCTGCAAATCGCTTTGAAAGCCTCCAAAAGCAGGAACAAGGTACCACGTGAAAGCGAAACACTATCAAGCCCACTCAGAGGGGCTTTTGTGTTTCCCCTCATTTGCCAAGATTGCGGGACCTCAGTTTTCAATAAAGAAAGAAAAATCAGAGAGAGGCATTTTCCAGATGACATATCTGCAATCCAGGAGTTTTTTGTATCACTTTACCAATCTTCCCTCATGGACAGCTGGGAACAAGTCAGTCTTGGAAAGACTGCGTTTGAGTTCCACCTAGGTCCAGCGGACACAAGAGATTTTTCTTTTTCCCCTTTCTCTGTTTGCATAGTAGCAGAACCTGAGTTTTTGCAGTATCAAAACAGAAATGGAAAAACCTGGAGCTTGAAAGAATTTTCCTACTACAAGAGACTTCCTGCGGGGTCTGGGTCTCCGGAGAGAAGGTTGAAAAGACCGGATGGCTGCTGTGTACCTGTGATTCTTCTCTACAGCTTAATGGAAAGCCATCAAGTCAAATTGAACCTTTCACTCCTGCCCACCACCTACGCACTTCCCAAAAGCAACAGCCCAGGCAAGCGACACGCTGGATAGTTGCCACAGACTGTAAGGATGAGACACATATTCACCGTCCATCCCATGCTCTGTAATTGCATCCGCAAAGATGATCAGCACACACACTGTCTGCCCTCCGACCTAACCTCTGCCACCCCTTCCAGACAGCTCTGCTCCTGCCCTGCATCCCTGACTGCTCCCCACGGCAGCTGGTGGGACCACGCTCTCACCCTCCTGGTCACCCCATGCAGAAAATCTCCAGTTTGCTTCACTTTCCAAAGCACAGGCCTAGAGAAACATAGGCGGTACCGGCATCTGTTCAGAAGGGACATGACGCACACTTGCTGCTGGGATTTTGCGAATTCTAACGCAGACTTTGAGAAGAAGCTGCGAGGTGATAAGGGTGGGGTCTCCTACTCATCCCCGAGACACACGCACTAGAGGAGCACGGTACGGCATCGGCCCACGTACAAGGGCTGCACACTAAGGCAGCTTTCCTCACAGAAGAGGAAAACGCTGCTGCCTCACCTCTCCTTCCTTCCTTCTTTCATGTCACACCAAAGCAGAAAAAGTTCTTCAAATGCAGTCATGTAAAAAAACCCCCAACATCTTCCTGCTAACGATACACAGATGACAAAACAGTCTGAGCAGCTTTACAGCAAGGAAGCTTGAAAGATGTAGGAGTGGGGAAAAGGAGGGAACATCTCACCCTTTAAACCCAAATGTCCCTCAGGAACTGCTGCCATGGTGAATAGCGGGTGATGGACAAGGAGCAAGGGAGACAGGCCGGCCACCATATGCCTGTCTGAAACATCGAAAGTCAAACACAGAGAAAGGGATGGAGAACCCAGAGATGGTTTGAGGGGTGGGAGAGAGGCGGAAGCACAAATGGGCTTAACATATCTGAGTCGACAGCTGAAAGGGAGCAGGGTATGAGGGGGGAGGAAAAAAAAAAAAAAAGGCACAGTTATGAATTTGGCACCACGGCTCCTTCTCCCTTGCCTCCCGTAAGCCTGGTCTCCAGACTGAGCCAGCACCGCAGGTGCGTTTATGGAGGCACAAGGAGGTCAGGGAAGCATTTAGCCTCACAGACCACACCACAGAGTAGGAGCAGCTTTCTCCACGCTACCCCAGTATGCTCCAGCCACAAAATGGGAGACAGCCTGAAAAGCTGAGGGGAAAACTCACGCTGGCTCAGCTAAGACAGCTGAATGAAGCCGTGGTGGTGCAGAGGGCTGTGTAAAACCAGTACAGCCACCAGCCCACCTCTCTGGGTAGTTTCAGGGAAGGCTGGCCAGAGAGCCTGAACGGGGGGAAGGAGAGAGGCAGGTCACAGTGGGGAAATATTGACTCCCCTGGGCCTTTCTGAGACAAAATTGATTCTCAAAGCATTTTGTGCCAGTCTGCCAGATCGATACCCCGGCATCCTCCCAGCCACCCTCAGCCAAAATACTCTCACGCTGGCTCAGGAACAGGGGACAATTTGGGAAAAGTATGGGATGGGCCAACAAGAGCAGACTGCAGACAGCCCCCTGCCCCTCCAGCCTGGGCTCCATGAGCACACGCATACAGCCAGAACCTGCCCTCCACCGAAAAGCTCTTCAGGTAAAACCCTCAGCCCTGAGAGGCACGGGACCAGCCGGCGGCACACAGCTCTCCACTTCTCCGCCACAGGGGAAGAGAAAACCCCACACTCTCTGCTGCCAAAATGGCTAGGAGACCCAATTGTGACCTAAATTGCTCCTTCCTCCTGAGCTACAGGCTGCCAGGTTTGGGGCAGGTCCAAGGCAGAAAGCTGCTCCCACAGGGAGAGGGACAAGATGTCCGCCTTGTCCCCTGCCACCC